TTTACTTCTACTTCTGCTTCTACTTCTACTTCTACTTCTGCTTCTACTTCTGCTTCACTTCTACTTCTACTTCTACTTCTACTTCTGCTTCTCTTACTTCTGCTTCTGCTTCTGCTTGTGCTTCTGCTTTCTGCTTCTGCTTCTGCTTCTGCTTGCTTGTGCTTGTGCTTGTGCTTGTGCTTGTGCTTGTGCTTGTGCTTTGTGCTTCTACTTCTGCTTCTACTTCTACTTCTTAAACTGCAGCTCCGCACGGCTCCAAAACAAATGTGATTTTCCCTGGACTCGGGCCGTCAGAGCAGAACGCGCGGCCAGTGTTGGGAAGTTTACTTTTAAAATGTAGTTTGTAACGTAATCCATTAAATGACTTGAAGTGAGTAATGTAATCTGATTACTTTGGACTTTACTTGGTCTGTTGAAGAGAAGCAAAGACGAGGAAATCGTAACATCAGATGTTTTATCTGATAAAAGAAAATAAAAAGTCCAGACTTTACTGAACCAAATTAAAAATATTATTGATAAAAGACGAGGAAACACGTCCACACAGCAGGATTTAGACCTGTTCAATCCTGTTTGAGACCTGGTTTAGATCTGGTTTAGATCTCATTTAGACCTGGATTTAGTCCTGGTTTAGTCCTGGTTTAGATCTAGTTTTGACCTGGTTTAGACCTGGTTTAGTCCTGGTTTTAGACCTGATTCAGTCCTGGTTTAGTCCTGGTTTAGACCTAGTTTTAGACCTGGTTTAGATCTAGTTTAGACCTGGTTTAGAGACCTCCTGGTTTAGATCTAGTTTTAGACCTGGTTTTAGTTTAGACCTGTTTTAGACCTGGTTTAGACCTGGTTTTAGATCTAGTTTAGACCTGGATTTTTAGATCTAGTTTTAGTCCTGGTTTAGATGGTTTAGACCTAGTTTTAGACCTGGTTTAGATCTAGTTTAGACCTGGTTTTAGTCCTGTTTTAGTCCTGGTTTAGATCTAGTTTTAGACCTGGTTTTAGTCTAGTTTAGACCTGGTTTAGATTGGTTTAGTCCTGTTTTAGACCTGGTTTTAGATCTAGTTTAGACCTGGTTTTAGTCCTGTTTTAGACCTGGTTTAGACCTTAGTTTAGACCTGGTTTTAGTCCTGTTTTTAGACCTGGTTTAGTCTGTTTTAGACCTGGTTTTTAGTCCTGGTTTTTAGACCTGGTTTAGACTGGTTAGACTAGTTTAGACCTGGTTTTAGACCCCTGTTTTAAGACCTGGTTTTAGTTTAGCTGTTTTAGACCTGTTTTAGTCCTGTTTTTAAGACCTGGTTTAGACCTGTTTTAGACCTGTTTTAGACCTGTTTAGACCTGTTTAGACTGGTTTAGACTGTTTTAGACCCTGTTTTTGTTTTTAGACCTGTTTAGAGTTTAGACCCTGTTTTTAGAACCTTTTAGACCTTTTAGACCTGGTTTTAGACCTGTTTTAGACCTGGTTTAGACCTGGTTTAGACCCTGGTTTTAGACCTGGTTTAGACCTGGTTTAGACCTGGTTTAGACCTGTTTTAGACCTGTTTAGAGACCTGGTTTAGACCTGGTTTAGGTCCTTGTTTTAGACCTGGTTTAGACCTGGTTAGACCTGGTTCTAGACCTGGTTTAGACCTGGTTTAGAGACCTGTTTTAGTGGTTTAGACCTGGTTTTAGACTTTAGTCTAGTTTAGACCTGGTTTAGACCTGGTCTTAGACCTGTTTTATGACCTGCCTGGTTTAGACCTGGTTTAGACCTGTTTTAGACCTGGTTTAGGTCTAGTTTAGACCTGGTTTAGACCTGGTTTAGACCTGGTTTAGACCTGGTTTAGACCTGGTTTAGACCTGGTTTAGGTCTAAGAGGTCTGCAGAAAATTAAACCACAACATTTGTGTTTCTCTCGCGTGTTTCTAAAATTATTATTGTTTTTGTGGAAATTACATGAGGTCGTTTCCGCTCGGACGACGACGACGGCAAAACTCCACAAAACCAGTGAAGGGAAACGAGCTCAGACGAAGGGCGTCGGTTTGAAACACCAGGAAAACCAACTGACAGGTCACGTGATGAAAAGATGAATGATAAAAGATTGTTTACTTTGGGTTTGATGCTCACGGCAAAAAAACAAACAAACGGCACATTTTTATAAGAAAAAGTCAAACGAAATGAGAAGTTGTGTTTATGTTTTAGGAATTCTGTCTGTTTGGTTCGTGAGTAGAGCTCCGTTTGGTTCGCGAGTAGAGCTCCGTTTGGTTCACGAGTAGAGCTCCGTTTGGTTCACGAGTAGAGCTCCGTTTGGTTCGTGAGTAGAGCTCCGTTTGGTTCCGTGAGTAGAGCTCCGTTTGGTTCACGTAGTAGAGCTCCATTTGGTGCGTGAGTAGAGCTCCGTTTGGTGTGAGTAGAGCTCCGTTTGGTGCGTGAGTAGAGCTCCGTTTGGTCCATGAGTAGAGCTCCATTTGTTCGAGTGAGAGAGCTCCGTTTGGTGCGTGAGTAGAGCTCCGTTTGAGTAAGAGCTCCGTTTGGTTCGAGAAGAGCTCCGTTTGGTAGAGTTAGAGCTCCGTTTGGTTCGTGAGTAGAGCTCCGTTTGGTTCACGAGTAGAGCTCCGTTTGGTGCGTGAGTAGAGCTCCGTTTGGTGCGTGAGTAGAGCTCCGTTTGGTTCATGAGTAGAGCTCCGTTTGGTTCGTGAGTAGAGCTCCGTTTGGTTCACGAGTAGAGCTCCGTTTGGTGCGTGAGTAGAGCTCCGTTTGGTTCGTGAGTAGAGCTCCGTTTGGTTCACGAGTAGAGCTCCGTTTGGTGCCGTAGAGCTCCGTTGGTGCGTGAGTAGAGCTCCGTTTGGTTCATGAGTAGAGCTNTTTAGACCTGTTTTAAACCTGGTTTAGACCTGGTTTTAGTCCTGTTTCCTGTTTTAGACCTGGTTTTAATCCTGGTTTAGACCTGTTTTAATCCTGTTTAGTCCTGTTTTAGTTTTTAATCCTGGTTTCCTGGTTTAACTGTTTTAGTCCTGGTTTAGACCTGTTTTAGTCCTAGGTTTAGTCCTGTTTAGACCTGGTTTAGTCCTGGTTTAGACCTGTTTTAGCCTTGTTTAGTTTTACTGGTTTAGTTAGACCTGTTTTAGTCCGGTTTAGTCCTGGTTTAGACCTGTTTTAGTCCTGGTTTAGACCTGGTTCCATATTTTGTCTTTGCACTTGACTTAAACGTCCTGTAAATGTTTTTTCACTTGTTTTACTCTAGTTTTTTTGTGTTTAGTCGTGGACAACAATCGTTAGGGGGTGTTGCGCGTTTTCGTCTCTTGACACGTTTCTCGTCGTCGTTTTGTCCCACTTTTTTTTTTTGGAGACAAATACTTACGTCTTTGAGCGCGTTCGTTTCGGTGTGAGTTTGACGGGGCGACTTCACGCGGGTCTTCACCCCCGGCCCGGTTCTCGGCGCGGCGGCTCTGAAGACGCTCTTTGGTGGATCGGCCACATCTTCTCACTGAACCTGGATCCCTGGAGATGCTGATCCCGATTCTGGCTTTGTCAAAGTTTGTCAAAAGTGCTCAAAGGTCAAGAGAACGTGCGATCAAAAACCACACGTACAAGCTTTCAGGAAAGGGTGATTAATAACAAACAACAAAGAAATCAGAAGCACAACGGAGGCGTCCGTGTTTCACTTCAGAGTCCAGCCCACATCACATGATCGTTAAATCCACAATGGAAAAATAAAAAAAATAAAAAACATTTGTGTGATCTTGGTCATGTGAGAATGTGTTTACTCGTGTGGAAACTAAATGTCATTGTTCATGAGTTGTGTGTCAGTTTTCTGAGATTTTCAATTTTGTGTTTAAATGAAAAATGGAAAAAAAAGAAAAAAAAAAACGGATAAGAGACCGAACCAGGACTAAACCAGGACTAAAACCAGGTCTAAACCATTTTCAGTCCTGGGTCTCGTCTCAATCCTGGTTTAAATCCTGTTTAGTCCTGTTTTAGTCCAGTTCCTGGTTTTAGTCCTGGTTTAGTCCTGGTTTAGTCCTTGGTTTTTAGTCCTGTTTTAGTCCTGTTGGTTTAGTCCTGGTTTAGTCCTGTTTTAGTCCTAGTCCTTTTAGTCCTGGTTTAGTCCTGGTTTTAGTTTCTGGTTTAGTCCTGGTTTAGTTTAGTCCTGGTTTAGTCCTGGTTTAGTCCTGGTTTTAGACCTGGTTTAGTCCTGTTTAGTCCTGTTTTAGTCCTGGTTTAGTCCTGGTTTAGTCCTGGTTTAGACCTGTTTAGTCCTGGTTTAGTCCTGGTTTAGACCTGGTTTAGTCCTGTAGACCTGGTTTAGACCTGGTTTCCTGGTTTAGACCTGTTTTAGTCCTGTTTAGTCCTGGTTTTAGTCCTGGTTTAGACCTGTTTTAGACCTGGTTTAGACCTGGTTTAGACCTGGTTTAGACCTGTTTTAGTCCTGGTTTAGACCTGTTTTAGTCCTGGTTTAGTCCTGGTTTAGACCTGGTTTTAGACCTGTTTTAGTCCTGTTTTAATCCTGGTTTAGACCTGGTTTAGTCCTGTTTTAGTCCTGGTTTAGTCCTGTTTTAGTCCTGGTTTAGACCTGTTTTAGTCCTGGTTTTAGTCCTGGTTTAGACCTGGTTTAGTCCTGGTTTAGTCCTGGTTTAGACCTGTTTTAGTCCTGGTTTAGACCTGTTTTAATACTGGTTTAGTCCTGGTTTAGACCTGGTTCCATATTTGGTCTTTGCACTTGACTTAAACGTCCTGTAAATGTTTTTTCACTTGTTTTTACTCTAGTTTTTTTTGTGTTTAGTCGTGGACAACAATCGTTAGGGGGGTGTCGCGCGTTTCGTCTCTTGACACGTCGTTTCTCGTCGTCGTTTTGTCCCACTTTTTTTTTTTGGAGACAAATACTTACGTCTTTGAGCGCGTTCGTTTCGGTGTGAGTTTGACGGGGGCGACTTCACGCGGGTCTTCACCCCCGGCCCGGTTCTCGGCGCGCGGCTCTGAAGACGCTCTTTGGTGGATCGGCCACATCTTCTCACTGAACCTGATCCCTGGAGATGCTGATCCCGATTCTGGCTTTGTCCAAAGTTTGTCAAAGTGCTCAAAGGTCAAGAGAACGTGCGATCAAAACCACACGTACAAGCTTTCAGGAAAGGGTGATTAATAACAAACAAACAACAAGAGCAATCAGAAGCATCAACCTGGTCCCTCACGAGGCGTCCGTGTTTCACTTCAGAGTCCAGCCCACATCACATGATCGTTAAATCCACAATGGAAAAAATGAAATAAAAAACATTTGTGTGATCTTGGTCACGTGAGAATGTGTTTACTCGTGTGGAAACTAAATGTCATTGTTCATGAGTTGTGTGTCAGTTTTCTGAGATTTTCAATTTTGTGTTTAAATGAAAAATGGAAAAAAAAAAAAAAAAAAAACGGATAAGAGACCGAACCAGGACTAAACCAGGACTAAACCAGGTCTAAACCATTTTCAGTCCTGGTCTGGTCTCGGTCTCAATCCTGGTTTCAATCCTGTTTTAGTCCTGGTTTAGTCCTGGTTCAGTCCTGTTTTAGTCCTGTTTTTAGTTCTGGTTTAGTCCTGTTTTAGTCCTGGTTTAGTCCTGGTTTTAGTTCTGGTTTAGTCCTGGTTTAGTCCTGGTTTAGAGTCCCTGGTTTAGTCCTTTTTAGTCCTGGTTTAGTCCTGGTTTAGTCCTGGTTTAGTCCTGTTTAGTCCTGGTTTAGACCTGGTTTAGTCCGTTTTAGTCCTGGTTTTAGACCTGGTTTATCCTGTTTAGTCCTGGTTTAGTCCTGGTTTAGTTTAGTCCTGGTTTAGACCTGGTTTAGTCCTGTTTAGTCCTGGTTTAGACCTGGTTTAGTCCTGGTTTAGTCCTGGTTTAGTCGTTTTAGTCCTGGTTTAGTCCTGGTTTAGTCCTGGTTTAGACCTGGTTTAGTCCTGTTTTAGTCCTGGTTTAGTCCTGGTTTAGACCTGGTTTTAGTCCTGGTTTTAGTCCTGGTTTAGACCTGGTTTAGATCCTGGTTTTAGTCCTGGTTTAGACCTGTTTTAGTCTGGTTTAGTCCTGGTTTAGACCTGGTTTAGTCCTGTTTTTAGTCCTGGTTTATCCTGGTTTAGTCCTGGTTTAGACCTGGTTTTAGTCCTGGTTTGTCCTGTTTTAGTTTACCTGGTTTAGTCCTGGTTTAGTCCTGTTTAGACCTGTTTTAGTCCTGTTTTAGTCCTGGTTTAGTCCTGGTTTAGTCCTGGTTTAGACCTGGTTTAGTTTAGTCCTGTTTTAGTCCTGGTTTAGTCCTGGTTTAGTTCCTGGTTTAGACCTGGTTTAGTTTAGTCCTGTTTTAGTCCTGTTTTAGACCTGGTTTAGTCCTGTTTTAGTCCTGTTTAGACCTGTTTAGACCTGGTTCCATATTTGGTCTTTGCACTTGACTTAAACGTCCTGTAAATGTCTTTTCACTTGTTTTTACTCTAGTTTTTTTTGTGTTTAGTCGTGGATAACAATCGTTAGGGGGGTGTCGCGCGTTTCGTCTCTTGACACGTCGTTTGTCGTCGTTGTTTTGTCCCACTTTTTTTTTTTTGGAGACAAATATTTACGTCTTTGAGCGCGTTCGTCCCGGAGCAGTCAGCGAAGGGTTAAGCTCCCCTCACCGCGCCGCCTTTAAAACCCGCAGACTCGACTCCCGGAGAGAGAGACCAGAGCGCGGAGCCGGACGGAGGGAGTTCAGGGACCAGAGGACGGACGGACACGGGTGCAGACTGGTGCGTTCGGGGACCAGAGGACGGACGGACACGGGTGCAGACTGGTGCGTTCGGGGACCAGAGGACGGACGGACACGGGTGCAGACTGGTGCGTTCGCTGCCCCCCTCAGAGACATGAAGCCTCTGCTGTTGCCCTGCGTGGCGCTCGTGCTGTGGCTGGGCCTGAGCTCGGCCGGGACCGGGACCGGGACCGGGTTCAGACCGGGACTTAACCACGAGGCCGGACTGAGCGCGAGGAGGACCTACGGCCGAGCGGCGGTGAGACACGCGCAGACACACACACATTTTCATTTTTCGTAGCTGAAGTTGAGTAAATACGGAAACAGCGAGAGGTTTATAAAAGTTTTTAGCGCGGCCAGGAGTCAAAACTAAACTTTATATTTACACACGTTATTCATCGAATTGGAGTTTATGCTTCAGAAATCTTTTGGTGAGTCGTTTGGAGGAGGGAGGAGAGCTGCAAATCATAAAATAAAAGAAAAGTCGGTGGTTTTTAAAGGTGAAGTGTGGTGGATTTTAATGTTCCCCGTGACAGGACTGTGGGTCTGGACCTTTTACAGACCCGAGCCTGGATCCTGGTCAGAACCTGGACCAATATTCTGCTTCATAATAATAATAGATTTAGATTTAGGTTTAGGTTTAGGATTTAGGTTTAGGTTTAGATTTAGATTTAGATTTAGATTTAGATTTAGTTTAGTTTAGATTTAGATTTAGATTTAGATTTAGATTTAGATTTAGATTTAGATTTTTAGATTTTTTAGGTTTATTTAGGTTTAGGTTTAGGTTTAGATTTAGGTTTAGATTTAGATTTAGATTTAGGATTTAGGTTTAGATTTAGGTTTAGGTTTAGGTTTAGGTTTAGTTTAGTTTAGATTTAGATTTAGATTTAGGATTTAGGTTTAGGTTTAGATTTTTTAGGTTTAGATTTAGGTTTAGATTTAGATTTAGTTTAGTTTAGATTTAGGTTTAGATTTAGATTTAGGTTTAGGTTTAGATTTAGATTTAGATTTAGGATTTAGGTTTAGATTTAGGTTTAGGATTTAGGATTTAGGTTTTTAGATTTATTTAGTTTAGATTTAGGTTTAGGATTTAGATTTTTTAGATTTATTTAGGTTTAGGTTTAGATTTAGGTTTTAGATTTAGGTTTAGATTTAGATTTAGGTTTAGATTTAGGTTTAGGTTTAGGATTTAGATTTAGATTTAGATTTAGTTTAGATTTAGGTTTAGTTTAGATTTAGTTTAGTTTAGTTTAGTTTAGATTTAGTTAGATTTAGGTTTAGATTTAGGTTTAGTTTAGTTTAGTTTAGATTTAGGTTTAGATTTAGGGTTTAGAGGTTTAGATTTAGATTTAGGTTTAGGTTTAGATTTAGGTTTAGATTTAGGTTTAGGTTTAGATTTAGATTTAGGTTTAGATTTAGGTTTAGATTTAGGTTTAGAGTTTAGATTTAGGTTTAGATTTAGGTTTAGATTTAGGTTTAGATTTAGGTTTTAGTTTAGATTTAGGTTTAGATTTAGGTTTAGATTTAGGTTTAGATTTAGGTTTAGATTTAGATTTAGAGGTTTAGGATTTAGTTTAGAGGTTTAGGTTTAGATTTAGATTTAGATTTAGATTTAGGTTTAGTTTAGATTTAGGTTTAGATTTAGGTTTACATTTAGGTTTAGATTTTGTTTAGTTAGTTTAGGTTTAGATTTAGGTTTAGATTTAGGTTTAGGTTTAGATTTAGGTTTAGGATTTAGGTTTAGATTTAGGTTTAGATTTAGGTTTAGATTTAGGTTTAGATTTAGGGTTTAGTTTAGATTTAGGTAGATTTAGGTTTAGGTTTAGATTTAGGTTTAGATTTAGGTTTAGATTTAGATTTAGATTTAGATTTATTTAGGTTAGATTTACGTTTAGATTTAGGGTTAGATTTAGGTTTAGATTTAGGTTTAGATTTTTTAGATTTAGATTTAGATTTAGGTTTAGGTTTAGATTTAGTTTAGATTTAGGTTTAGATTTTAGGTTTAGATTTAGGTTTAGGTTTAGGTTTAGGTTTAGATTTAGATTTAGGTTTAGATTTAGGTTTTGTCGCTTTATTCGTACCCGTAGGTAAATTTGTTTCGCAGATTTGAGAGGCAGGTTCCACATTTCCAGTGTCAGGAGGAACAGATTACATGTACCTGGATTACGTAATCAGAGTACAAATGATGAGTAACTGTATTCAGTTACAGTTACTGTTTCAGTGAGTGGTAATTGGATTACAGTTACTTTGTTGAAGTAAATGGATTACACGGCGGGATTTTACTGTTTTTACATTTTGGGCTATATCCCTTTTTTTTTTTTTTTTTTTTTTCAGTAATTCCACTCATTGCCAGACACTAAACCAGATCTAAACCAGGTCTAAAACAGGACTAAACCAGGACTAAAACTAGGACTAAACCAGGACTGAACCAGGACTAAACCAGACATAAACAAGGACTAAAACTAGGACTAAACCAGGACTAAATCAGGACAAAACTAGGACTAAAACCAGGTATAAACTCGATCTAAACCAGGACTGAACCAGGACAAAGCCTGGACTAAACCAGGACTAAACAGGTCTAAACCAGGTCTAAACCAGGACTAGGCCAGGACTAAACCAGGACTAAACAGGTCTAAACCAGGTCTTAAACAGGACTAAACCAGGACTAAACCAGGTCTTAAACAGGACTAAACCAGGACTAAACCAGGTCTTAAACAGGACTAAAACAGGACTAAACCAGGATTTAACAGTACTAAACTATCAATAATATTTTTAATTTGGTTCAGTAAAGTCTGGGCTTTTTATTTTCTTTTAGCAGATAAAACTTCTTATGTTTCGATATCCGAGTCTTTGCTTCTCTACAGCAAATCAAGTAATCCAAAGTAATCAGATTACATTACTCACTTTAAGTAATTTAATGGATTCTGTTACAAACTACATTTTGGTGTGTGTAATCTGTAATCTGTAGGGGATTACATTTTAAAAGTAAACTTCCCAACACTGCACATTTCACAAAACACGTATAAAAACACAAATTAAAGTGTTTCAGAGGCTCCAGTGCCGAAGGGTTTGTTCTATAAGCAATAAAATTCATCCATCACACTTGACTAAAAACACAATAAATATTAAACAAATCGATTACAATTTATTCATAAGTTCAACAGCAGCTGGAACGAAGCTCCTTTTAAAACGATTTAAAACGATTCTAGATCTTGGGACTAAAAGCCTCAGACCGCAGGGAAGCAGCCGAAACTCTGAGTTCAGCGGATGTTTCACGTCTTTTCAAACACGGAAGCCGAGAGGGGTCACGATAAACGCAAACGCCGCGACAAATACAAGCGCGACAACACAACAAAAAGCCACAACACACCAAAAAAAGCCACAACACACCAAAAAAAACCACAACAAACCAAAAAAACACAACAAACCAAAAAAAGGCCACAACAAAAAAAAAAAGCCACAACCAACCAAAAAAAAAAAGCCACAACCACCAAAAAAGCCAAAACACACCCAAAAAAAGCCACAACAAACCAAAAAAAAGGCAACAAACAAAAAACCAAAAAAAAAAAAGCCACAAAACAAAAAAACCAACCAAAAAAGCCACAACACACCAAAAAAAAAGCCACAACACACCAAAAAAAGCACAACACCAAAAAAAGCCACAACGGAAATGACCGCGGGACTCTATTTTAATGCAAACGCCGCAACAAATACAAAACAACACAAACGTAAAAGCCACAACACGTCAAAAAGCCACAACACGTCAAAAAGCCACAACACATTAAAAAGCCACAACGGAAGTGACCCTGGGACTCTATTTTCCGACGGAACGATCAAGCGGCACGTGAAGAAGAAGAACTACAACGTGAAACGAATAATGATAAAACAATAAATTACTTTTACTTACTTGCGTTTCCAACTTCTCCGTTCCTTTACTTTTCACGTTGTCGTTTTTCTTCTTCACTTGAGGCATGATCGGTCCGTCGGAAAATAGAGTCCCGTGTGTTGTGGCTTTTTTTTTGGTGTGTTGTGCCTTTTTGTTGTGTTGTCACGTTTGTATTTGTTGCAGCGTTTGCATTAAAATAGGGTCCTGCAGTCATTTAAGTTGAGGCTTTTTTTGGTGTGTTGTGGCTTTTTAATGTGTTGTGCATTTTTTGGTTTGTTGTGGCTTTTTAAAAATTTGTTGTGGCTTTTTTTGGTGTGTTGTGGCGTTTTGTTGTGTTGTCGCGTTTGTACTTGTTGCAGCGTTTGCGTTAAAATAGAGTCCCGAGGTCATTTTCGTTGTGTCTTTTTTGGTTTGTTGTGGCTTTTTGTTGGTGTGTTGTGGCTTTTTTGGTGTGTTGTGCCATGGCTTTTTTTTTTTTGTTTTTTTTGGTGTGTTATGCCTTTTTTTTTGTTGTGGCATTTTTTTGTTTTTTGTGTGTTTTGTTGTGCTTTTTTGTTTTTGTTTTTGTTTTTTATGGCTTTTTTGGTTTGTTATGGCTTTTTTTTGCTTTGTTGTGGCTTTTTTTTTGCTTTGTTGTGGCATTTTTTTGGTGTGTTGTGCCTTTTTTTGGTTTGTTATGGCTTTTTTTTGGTATGTTATGGCTTTTTTTTTGGTTTGTTATGGCTTTTTTTGGTTTGTTATGGCTTTTTTGGTTTGTTGTGGCTTTTTTTTGGTTTGTTGTGGCTTTTTTTTGGTTTGTTTGGCTTTTTTGGTTTGTTATGGCTTTTTTTGGTTTGTTGTGGCTTTTTTTTGGTTTGTTGTGGCTTTTTTTTGGTTTTGTTGTGTTTTTTTTTTTTGTTTTTTTTTGTTGTGGCTTTTTTTTGGTTTGTTGTGGCTTTTTTTTTGGTTTGTTGTGGCTTTTTTTTTTGGTTTGTTGTGTCTTTTTGTTGTGTTGTCGCGTTTGTATTTGTCGCGGCGTTTGCGTTTGTCGCGACCCCTCTCGGCTTCCGTGTTAAAATCCTGTGGGACCGTCTCGAGTACACAGAGTCTGTACCGAATACCGAACATTTATCCCTGACGCGGAGCTTCTGAAAACAGAATAAATCTCCCAGGTTTCCTTCTGTGCGCGTCTCTTTAAAAGTGACTGCAGTGAGTTTACTGAAGCACGTTGAAATGATTTGGACAGAGCGTCTTTTGTGTTTTGCGTCTGTTTTATTGCGCTCTGACCGCGTCCTCTCCCCGCCGCCGCCGCTGATGTGGATGTCAGGTTTCCTCCCGCGCTCTGCTCCGGCACATGTTTCTCATGGAGGCGAGGTCGAGCTGCAGTTGTAAATAAAGGGGGGGGCTGACAAAGACACGACTGTGAGCAGCTGGTTTCAATAATCGAGCTCGGGCCGAAACTGTCTGCTCAGTGGAACGTTCTGCTTCGCCGGTAATGAGCCTGGCTGCAGTCGGACGCTCAGGAGTCTGACGGGTTTTGTGAAGAGAGCCAGAGAGCGGCCGTAAAGAGAGTCTGTAAACGCAGGAGCCAGAGCCACGGCGAGGTTCATTGGTAACACTTTGTAATAACTACACCTTATTTAACCTTAATAAAGCATGAACAAAGACTTAATTAATAATGAACGACGAGGAGACCCGACGGACCCGAAGTGGCCGGCGAAAAGACCTCAAGTGTCAAACCTGGACCTGTCACTGTCCGTTAGAATCACTCGCACCACGAAGGCTCATCTGTGCAGTTTTTTTTTTTTTTTTCCTGTGTCTCCAGTTTTCCCCTCATCAACTCGTCAACACGTGGACAACAGCTCAGGTCGTCCAGCTCAGGTCGTCCCCCTCCTCCTGACAGCCCCGGCGGCACCGAAGAAGGTCCAAAATGCAGACGACATATTTTCCTACCGGGACAAACTGGAGCACAAACTGTATTTTTAACTCTGATTAAATGAACCAGTAACACTTTATAATAACTACACCTTATGTAGCCTTAATAAAGCATGAACAAAGACTTAATTCATAATGATTCACACTTAGTAACTACTTAATTACTACCTGAATTAGCACTTAACTTGAACTTAATTCGCCTGTGCTGTAAATAGTTACTCATAAGTATTTCTTACTTAATTACTCATGAACTAAACATTTGTGTGTGCATTTGTAAATGTATATTTAAGTACAAATTTGAGCATTTATTAATGATTAGTAAACCATGAGAGAATGATTTACTAGTAATGCATTATTATTTCTCTGGAATTTGACCAACCTTAACAAATGCTTAATAAAACATAATTAGTCTTATTAGACTTTAGAAAAACTCTCAGAAAGACTTAACTAACAGATAACAGTTGCCTGAATGATCATTGTATTACATTATTAGTAAATCATTCTCTCATGGCTTATTAATCATTAACAAATGCTCAAATTTGTGCTTAAATATGCATTTGTAAACATGCAAATGTTTAGTTCATGAGTAATTAAGTAAGAAATACTTATGAGTAACTATTTACAGCACAGGTGAATTAAGTGCTAATTCAGGTAGTAATTAAGTAGTTACTAAGCGTGAATCATTATGAATTAAGTCTTTGTTCATGCTTTATTAAGGCTACATAAGGTGTAGTTATTATAAAGTGTTACTGGTTCATTTAATCAGAGTTAAAAATACAGTTTGTGCTCCAGTTTGTCCAGGTAGGAAAATATGTCGTCTGCATTTTGGACCTTCTTCGGTGCCGCCGGGGCTGTCAGGAGGAGGGGGACGACCTGAGCTGGACGACCTGAGCTGTTGTCCACGTGTTGACGAGTTGATGAGGGGAAAACTGGAGACACAGGGAAAAAAAAAAAAAAAAAAAACCTTGCACAGATGAGCCTTCGTGGTGCGAGTGATTCTAACGGACAGTAACAGGTCCGGTTTGACACTTGAGGTCTTTTCGCCGGCCACTTCGGGTCCGTCGGGTCTCCTCGTCGTTCTGCGTTTATGGACAAACCGCGTCCTCAGAAGTCACTTTCAGCAGCAGGTCGGTTTGAGACTTTCGGTGATGTTTAAATGTACGATTCTGATTCTGATTAAATCGCTCTGCTGAAGAACGCTCACAGTCCGATCTGAATCTGCTCGTTTCAGGCGGGTTTAACCGAGACTCAGACAGGTGCAGGTCAGACAGGTGCAGGTCCCGACGCTCGCGGCTCTGAGAGTAAAAGTTTGGAGTTGAACTTTACTTAAACGAAAGAGTCTCCGAACAGCTGCAGCAAAGCCAAAACTACAAACAAATCTTAGTGTGTGAAATCCGTCCGTTCAGTTCAGGGTTTTTAGATTTTTCCTGTTATTTGTCCGTCTTTTTGGTCTTGGCATTCTGAAGTTCTGAAGGTTTTGTTTAGTCTCAGAGCTGCGAGGCGTTTTTTCAGACGGCACAGTTCAGTTCGGTTGCAGATTCGTTTTTTTTTGTTGTTTGTTTTTCAGACTGCGGCGGCGTAAAGTGTTCCGCAGGTGAACCGCGGAGGAAACCACAGTTTGTTTTTATAAACCCTTCGCGAGCGTCGCTTATTTCACTTTGGTTTGTGGTGTTTACCCTGAGCCACAGCGACGGATGGACGCTCGCTCAGCAGGGCAAGCCCTCGAGATCAGAACCTGGCGTCTCGTGGTTTAAAAGTGACATAACGCTAGATGTTGTTCACGGTTGGAGACATTACGCGGCGCTTTGTTTTCCATTACGTAATCCCAGCCCGTCGGTGCAGAAGTGTAACTCGTCTGCCTCCTCGTCTTCCACATTTTCACACTCGTCTTTCACATTTTTAATCTCTCGTCTTTCTCATTTTCAAACTCGTCTTTCACATTTTCAAACTCGTCTTTTGTATTTTCAAACTCGTCTTTCACATTTTCAAACTCGACTTTCACATTTTCAATTAGGGCCCGACCGATATGGATTTTGTTGTGACCGATATGAAACAGATAAAATGGAAATTGGAGCTGCCAATATATTTAGTGATGTAAAAATTCACTGTAAATCTTGAATTGTTTAAAAAACTTTGGTTTGGCTCTGGTGGATTTTAAATTGTGTTTATTTAGGAAACATTTGTTGTTATTCTGATTCTTTACGTCAAATTTACAGACAGTTGGACTAATGACATTTTTACATCACATTCTAGACACTAGTGACGGGGATTCCAGTTCTTTTTAGAGAACCGGCTCTTTTGGCTCGGCTCACTAAAAGCAGACGGCTCTTTTGGCTCCCAAGCGACTCTTCAGGTAGTTTTGTTGCAAGCAGGACTAAACCAGAACTAAACCAGAACTGAACCAGGTCTAAACCATGTGTAAAACAGGACTAAAAAAAACTGAACCAGAACTGAGAGTCGGGACTCGGTCTCTGTCTTTCAATCCCAACATTAGTCTTGATTTATTTATTTTATGTTGAACTACAGACAAACATGCAAGTTTTTTCTCTCCTCTGCACATGCAGATTTTTGAAAGTTTGGTTTTGAGTCGCTGTCAAACTCCCACGAGTCTGAACACGACGAGAAGAGACAAAAAGTGAGAGAAAAAGAAAACACGACTCCCGACCGACTCATCACGACTAGAGTCAAGAAACTAAACTACCACTGTTAGTCTTTAGTCGTAAACGCTGCACCGCCGCGGTCATTAACGACATGTGTAAATGTTGATCATTCACACTTCTGTTCACAGTTCATTTACATCAGTGCAGCTCCAGAAACAAATATACAAACAATATAATCACAGATCATCAATAAACAATAAACAAATAAACAAAACCAGTTTCAAAGTCGACACATTTCAACACTCAGACTCACACAGACTCCTCCCACATCACACAGGCTCCTCCCACATCCCACAGGCTCCTCCCACATCACACAGGCTCCTCCCACATCACACAGGCTCCTCCCACATCACAAATCTGAACTAATAAATGTCCTTTTAATCCAAACTCAAACCGACTGTAAAAAGAAAATAATCTCAGTGTTTGGATCTGTGTGTGTGAGTGTGAACAAACACACACACACAAACACACGTGTGTGACGTGACTCTGTGGTGTGTTCAGGGACAGTACGACACACACACACACACAAATGTTTCCGTAGATAAATACTGATGCAGAGTCACATATCAGAACATTTATCTGTCTGTGAATTCAATTAAATAAACATAATGTAGAGAGTCTAAGATTTATAATGAGGTAAAACATGCCCACGTGATCAGCGAGCATATCAGCCGATAGTCGATATGTCTCCAGGTGCCCATATTGGCTGATAATATCGGCCAACCGATATATCGGTCGGGCTCTGTTTTCACACTCATCTTTCACATTTTCAAACTCGTCTTTCGCATTTTCAAACTCGTCTGCCTCCTCGTCTTTCACATTTTCAAACTCGTCTGCCTCCTCATCTTTCACATTTTCACACTCGTCTTTCACATTTTCACACTCGTCTTTCGCGTTTTCACACTCGTCTTTCGCGTTTTCACACTCGTCTTTCACGTTTTCAAACTCGTCTGCCTCCTCGTCTTTCACATTTTCAAACTCGTCTGCCTCCTCGTCTTTCACATTTTCAAACTCGTCTGCCTCCTCGTCTTTCACATTTTCAAACTCGTCTGCCTCCTCGTCTTTCACATTTTCACGACGTGTCTGTGTCTCCTGCAGAGGGCGCTACCTGCAGCTGTTGAACCAGATTCCACTCCCATGACGGTGCAGGCGTCCGGTGAGTAACTCAACACAGCTGTTCATGCCTCATCCCACATGTGACCGTCCGGGACTCGCTCGGACGGTCTGGGACAAATCAGTCGCACGGAATCTGAAAGGTTCGATGTCGAGAGAGGCGTTCCCCAAGGCTCGACTCTAGGACCCAGATTATTTACATTATACATGAACCATTTTGTTAAAGTTTCTGAGCTTGGGGAACATCTATAGTTTTTGTTTTTTGGCAGGTGTTAGGTTTGGGCCTAAGGTTTTTTAAAATCCACAGATATAAGTTGGGGCGCCCCCTAGTGGCCGGTGTACATGAAAAGAGAAAAGGTCGTATTCCACTTTCCTTTTGTCTTAAATTGTTGTATGAGAACACTTTTTGATTGACTTCTGATTGACTTGATAAAAGAAATGTGATTTTAACACTTTAATACAGATTTTAAGGCAGTTTTTATGCCAATTTTATTGTCATGGTCACGTTTTGCTGGAAAAACAGTCCATATCTGTGAAATAAAATAACGATTCAGGCGTCTAAACCCACATGTTCATCTTTAAGGAGTAAAACTGAACATGTGAACATCATTTTAGCGTGAAAAATATTGTTTTGCCAAAAGCCTTTAGGAACAGAAACTGGCTTTTTCTGAAATCAAATGAGGCGCAGAAATAGTTTCATGGTTCGATGAAATGCTCCAGACCAGTTTACGCAAGCGAGTCATATTTAAATGTGACTTTTTCAGAGATATTCACAGTTTATTTTAGTTAAATATGACTGTGATAATGGATTTAACATCAGAATTAGATTCCTTGTATCAAACAAAGTAGAAAATGTGTTTTATACAACAATTTAAGACTAAAGGAAGTGGAGATAAAAACCTTTTCTTGTTTTGGCAGGGGACATTTTTGCCACTAGGGGGCGCACCAACTTGTATCCATGGACTTTTGAAAACCTTAGGCCCAAACCTAACACCTGCCAAAAAAAAAAAAGCTTTTCCAAAAGTGATTTTAACACTTTTTTCTGATTTTAAGGACATTTTTATGCCAAATTTGTTGTCATGGTCACGTTTTGCTGGAAAAACAGTCCATATCTGTGAAATAAAATAACGATTCAGGCGTCTAAACCCACATGTTCATCTTTAAGGAGTAAAACTGAACATGTGAACATCATTTTAGCGTGAAAAATATTGTTTTGCCAAAAGCCTTTAGGAACAGAAACTGGCTTTTTCTGAAATCAAATGAGGCGCAGAAATAGTTTCATGGTTCGATGAAATGCTCCAGACCAGTTTACGCAAGCGAGTCATATTTAAATGTGACTTTTTCAGAGATATTCACAGTTTATTTTAGTTAAATATGACGATGATAATGGATATAACAGAAAAATTGACTAAAAATAAGAACAACAAATCAGTAGAAGTAGAAAAATTGCTTTATATAGCAATTTAAGACTAAAGGAAGTGGAGATAAAAACCTTTTCTTGTACACCAGCCACTAGGGGGCGCCCCAACTTGTATCCATGGACTTTTAAAAAACCTTTAGGCCCAAACCAAACACCTGCCAAAAATAAAAATACTTTTCCAGAAGAGCACCATTTTTATGACTTCCCCCCTGGCTGATACAACATTATTTCACTCTGGAAAACTCTTTTACTCTATAAAAAAGTCACAAATGAAGTAAACAGAGAGCTAAGAAAAGTAAAATATTGGTTTGATTTAAATGGATCAATGTTCATTTTACTTACAAAACCAAATTTTTAGGAGTTAGGATTGATGACGCTCTAAACCGGAGTTTGTCTCGTATAAATGACACAAAAGGCAAAATTCCCCAAGCGATTTCTGTTCTGCGTGAAGTAAAGTTCTCACTGAATGACTCCAGAACTGTACCAGATGGAACTGTATCTGATGGACCGTGTGGAAATTTGGAGGTCAGCATCTAAAACTCACCGACAGCTGTTACTTATTTTACAAAAAAGCGCTTTGAGAATCATCAAAAAAGTATACCCCTAAAAATATACCCCAAAAATATAAAAAAAAATATACACACAAAAAAATAATATATATATATATATATATATATATTATATATATATCCCAAAAATATAAAAAAAATAATAAAAAAAAAAAATATATATATATATATCCCAAAAATATAAAAAAAAAAATACTCCAAAAATATACTCCAATAATATACAAAAAATAATAATAATATATACTCCTAAAATATACACAAAAAAAATATACCCCAAAAATATACCCAAAATAAATACTCCAAAAATATACAAAAAAAATATACAAAAAAAAAATACTCCAAAAATATACTCCAAAAATATACCCCAAAAATATACCCCAAAAATAAGTATAAGTTCAAATATTTGTGCAGAGAAACACAAATCTATTACAGAAATCTTTTTTAATTGATGAACTCTTTCTTTTACAAAATATTATAATATTATGAACAACCTGAAACTTTAAGAAAAATACAATTTCAACACAAAGTTTTAACATGAACTTGTCTGTAAACAGGAATAAGTCCATTTTTGTTGTAAAGATTAAAGGTCTTGGAGGGCCGGATCCAGCCCCCGGGCCGGATGTTTGACACCCCTGATTTAAAGGATGCTCCAGTTTTGTTTTTTTTTAACGATGTGTTTGATGTCGCATTTGTGCTTTACCGAGACAAATATCTTGGTTCAGCTGTGGTTTTAGGACTCTGTGTTCTTTCGAGAGACAAACACATCGTAAAGAAAAACCGGAGCATCTTTAAAAGTGAAGTCACTGGCATCTGTTTGTCCTGACCCTCCATCATTTACTGCGCAAAGAACAACAACTTTAAAAAAAATAAAACAAAAAAAATAACAAAAAACAGACATTCTTGCCCCAAATTGAATCAATATTGGGAGAAAATTAAACAAAACCTTGATGAAACTGTTTTTGGGCAAATGGACGAACGACAACAAAGGAATAAAAACAACCTGGGTTAGACCTGGTTTAGTTCTGCTTTGGACCTGGGTTAGACCTGGTTTAGTTCTGTTTTGGACCTGGGTTAGACCTGGTTTAGTTCTGTTTTGGACCTGGGTTTGCATGTTCTCCCTGTGTCTGGATTTGGGTCAAATGCAGAGAGTGAATTTCCCTTCATTTAATTTCCTTTTACGTGTCAGTGACTGTAACTTTACTCATTATTATACTAGTCCTGGTTTGGTTTGGTCCTGGTTTGGTCCTGGTTTGGTCCTGGTTTAGTTCTGGCTGAAGGACCTAGCTTCAGTGCAAAACACTTTAAAACTCTTTCAACTAAAAACCCAGTTCAGGTTTAGGATGGTTCAGTCCGGGTTCAGTCCAGGTTCAGTCCAGGTTCAGTCCAGGATCAGGATGGTTCAGTCCAGGTTCAGTCCGGGTTCAGTCCAGGTTCAGTCCAGGTTCAGTCCAGGTTCAGGATGGTTCAGTCCGGGTTCAGTCCAGGTTCAGTCCAGGTTCAGTCCAGGTTCAGGATGGTTCAGTCCAGGTTCAGTCCGGGTTCAGTCCGGGTTCAGTCCGGGTTCAGGATGGTTCAGTCCAGGTTCAGGATGGTTCAGTCCAGGTTCAGTCCAGGTTCAGGATGGTTCAGTCCAGGTTCAGTCCAGGTTCAGTCAGGTTCAGTCCAGGTTCAGTCCAGGTTCAGTCAGGTTCAGGATGGTTCAGTCCAGGTTCAGGATGGTTCAGTCCAGGTTCAGGATGGTTCAGTCCAGGTTCAGTCCAGGTTCAGTCCAGGTTCAGTCCAGGTTCAGTCCAGGTTCAGGATGGTTCAGTCCAGGTTCAGTCCAGGTTCAGTCCAGGTTTAATCCAGGTTCAGTCCAGGTTCAGGATGGTTAAGTCCAGGTTCAGTCCGGGTTCAGTCCAGGTTCAGTCCAGGTTCAGGATGGTTCAGTCCAGGTTCAGGATGGTTCAGTCCAGGTTCAGTCCGGGTTCAGGATGGTTCAGTCCGGGTTCAGGATGGTTCAGTCCGGGTTCAGGATGGTTCAGTCCAGGTTCAGTCCGGGTTCAGTCCAGGTTCAGTCCGGGTTCAGTCCAGGTTCAGTCCAGGTTCAGTCCGGGTTCAGGATGGTTCAGTCCGGGTTCAGTCCGGGTTCAGTCCGGGTTCAGGATGGTTCAGTCCGGGTTCAGTCCAGGTTCAGTCCGGGTTCAGTCCAGGTTCCAGGTTCAGTCCAGGTTCAGGTTCAGTCAGGTTCAGGTGGTTCAGTCCGGGTTCAGTCCGGTTCAGTCCGGGTTCAGTCCAGGTTCAGTCCAGGTTCAGGATGGTTCAGTCCAGGTTCAGGATGGTTCAGTCCAGGTTCAGTCCGGGTTCAGGATGGTTCAGTCCGGGTTCAGGATGGTTCAGTCCAGGTTCAGTCCGGGTTCAGGATGGTTCAGTCCAGGTTCAGGATGGTTCAGTCCAGGTTCAGGATGGTTCAGTCCAGGTTCAGGATGGTTCAGTCCGGGTTCAGTCCAGGTTGGGGACTAGGGGTGTACAAAAATATCAATATATCGTAATGTGCTGATAGAGTATGGATATCGTGGGCTGCTGTATCGATATATCGAGTATTTTATCGAGTATTTTTGGTTTATTTTACTAAATTATTTTGTTCCAGCTCCAGTTTTGTTGTTTAAGTGACACATTTGACATTTTCACTGTTTTGAGGATTAAATTGTTTGTGTTTCAGATGAACTTTGAATTTAACAAAGACTTTTAGAGTCACACACACGATTTAGACTTTATTTTTACTGAACCGTATCGAATCGATTTGAAATATATCAAATCAAAAGCAACTTCTGAATGATCCCAGCCCTGTTCAGGACGGTTCAGTCTGAGATTAGGACGGTTCAGTCTGAGTTTAGGACGGTTCAGTCTGAGTTTAGGACGGTTCAGTCTGAGTTTAGGACGGTTCAGTCTGAGTTTAGGACGGTTCAGTCTGAGTTTAGGACGGTTCAGTCTGAGTTTAGGACGGTTCAGTCTGAGTTTAGGACGGTTTAATCTGAGTTTAGAACAGTTCAGTCTGAGTTTAGGACAGTTCAGTCTAAGTTTAGGACGGTTCAGTCTGAGTTTAGGACGGTTCAGTCTGAGTTTAGGACGGTTCAGTCTGAGTTTAGGACAGTTTAGTCTGAGTTTAGGACAGTTTAGTCTGAGTTTAGGACAGTTCAGTCTGAGTTTAGGACAGTTCAGTCTGAGTTTAGGACGGTTCAGTCTGAGTTTAGGACAGTTCAGTCTGAGTTTAGGACAGTTTAGTCTGAGTTTAGGACAGTTCAGTCTAGGTTAGGTTGATTCTTAGGTTGAGTCCTGGTCCAGTCCTGGTCCAGTCCTGGTCTAAGTCCTGTTGTGGTCCCTCAGACCTGCCCACCTGCCTGCTGTGCGTGTGCCTGACCGGGTCCGTTTACTGTGAGGAGGTGAACCCGGACATGACCACGGTGCCGGCGCTGCCCAAAGAGACGGCCTATCTGTACGCCCGCTTCAACAAGATCAAGAAGATCGGAACCAAGGACTTCGCCGACATGTGTGAGTCTCACACACATGGAGGGACCTGACACACACAGAGGGACCTGACACACACAGGGAGGGCACCTGACACACACACGGGGAAGGCACCTGACACACACGGGGAGGACACCTGACACACACAAGGAGGGCACCTGACACACACGGGGAGGACACCTGACACACATACGGGGAGGGACCTGACACACATACGGGGAGGGACCTGACACACACACGGGGAGGGACCTGACACACACACGGGGAGGGCACCTGACAGACACGGGGAGGACACCTGACACACACGGGGAGGGACCTGACACACATACGGGGAGGGACCTGACACACATACGGGGAGGGACCTGACACACATACGGGGAGGGACCTGACACACACACAGGGAGGGCACCTGACACACACAAGGAGGGCAACTGACACACACGGAGAAGGTACCTGACACACACACGGGGAGGACACCTGACACAGTCAAGGTTAGGGCACCTGACACACACAAGGAGGGCAAATGACACACACGGAGAAGGTACCTGACACACACACGGGGAGGGCACCTGACACACACATGGGGAGGGCACCTGAACACACATGGGGAGGGCACCTGACACACACGTGGAGGGACCTGACACACATGGGGAGGACACATGACACACACGGGAGGACACATGACACACACACTTCTGACACACACACAGGGAGGGCACCTGACACACACGTGGAGGACACATGACACACACACTTCTGACACACACACAGGGAGGGCACCTGACACACACACAGGGAGGGCACCTGACACACACGTGGAGGACACATGACACACACACACACTTCTGACACACACACAGGGAGGGCACCTGACACACTCACAGGGAGGGCACCTGACACACACGTGGAGGACACATGACACACACACACACTTCTGACACACACACAGGGAGGGCACCTGACACACTCACAGGGAGGGCACCTGACACACTCACGGGGAGGGCACCTGACACACACGGGGAGGGACACACAGGACACATGACACACACACACTTCTGACACACACACAGGGAGGGCACCTGACACACACACACGGGAGGGCACCTGACACACACACAGGGAGGGCACCTGACACACTCACGGGGAAGGACCTGACACACACACAGGAGGTTGTAATTAGAGCGTTGTCGTGTGTGCAGTGACCCTGAAGCGGATCGACCTGACGGGAAACCTGATCTCGGAGATCGAGGACGGGGCGTTTTCCAAACTGTCGCTCCTGGAGGAACTGTCCCTGGCAGAAAACCGCCTGGTCAAACTGCCCATGCTGCCCGCCAAACTCACCACCTTCAACGCCAACTTCAACATGCTCAAGACCAAAGGAGTCAAAGCCAACGCCTTCAAGGTCACACGGTCTAAAACGGACTCTAAACCCACGGACTCTAAACCCGCGGACTCTAAACCCGCGGACTCTAAACCCGCGGACTCTAAACCCGCGGACTCTAAACCCGCGGACTCTAAACCCGCGGACTCTAAACCCACGGACTCTAAACCCACGGACTCTAAACCCGCGGAATCTAAACCCGCGAAGTCTAAACCCACAAAGTCTAAAACCCGGACTCTAAACCCACGAAGTCTAAACCCGCGGACTCTAAACCCACGAAGTCTAAACCCGCGGAGTCTAAACCCACGGAGTCTAAAACCCACGAAGTCTAAACCCGGACTCTAAACCCGGACTCTAAACCCACGAAGTCTAAACCCGCGAAGTCCAAACCCGCGAAGTCTAAACCCGCGGACTCTAAACCCGCCCCCACGGACTCTAAACCCGCGCCCACGGAGTCTAAACCCGCGGACTCTAAACCCACGGATTCTAAACCCGCGCCCACGGACTCTAAACCCACGCCCACGGACTCTAAACCCACAGAGTCTAAACCCACGGATTCTAAACCCGCGCCCACGGACTCTAAACCCGCGCCCACGGACTCTAAACCCGCAGAGTCTAAACCCGCGCCCACGGAGTCTAAACCCGCGCCCACGGACTCTAAACCCGCAGAGTCTAAACCCGCGCCCACGGACTCTAAACCCGCGCCCACGGACTCTAAACCCGCGCCCACGGACTCTAAACGCGCCCACGGACTCTAAACCCGCAGAGTCTAAACCCACGGATTCTAAACCAGCGCCCACAGACTCTAAACCCACGGAGTCTAAACCCGGAGTCTAAACCACGGAGTCTAAACTCACTGAGTCTACCTGCACCCACAGACCAGACCAGAGACCAGAACTGAGACCAGAAACCTAAACCTGCGCCCAGAGACTTTTAGACTCTTTTTAAATGTATTAAATGTGTTTTTGTTTTTTGTTTTTTTTACAGAAACTGACGAAGTTGTCTAACCTGTACCTGTCGGACAACCAGCTGGAGGCGGTGCCCTTCATCCCTGACAACGTGAGGACTCTGCACCTGCAGGTGAGAGGCGGTACTGCGGGAGGTTCTCTCTGTGTGCGTCCCAACGTTCTGCTCAAATGTTCCTCTGTGTCCCGCAGAACAACAACATCAGCGAGGTGAACGTCAACACCTTCTGCCGCTCCAACGACACCTATTACCTCAGGCCCAAACTCACCGAGATCCGCCTGGACGGGAACCCCGTGCTCCTGTCAAAGCACCCGGACACCTTCACCTGCCTCAACGTGCTGCCCGTGGGCCGGTACCGCTGAGACCAGGGACCAGGGACCAGGGACCACAGACCACAGACCACAGACCACAGACCACAGACCAGACCTGAGACCAGAGACTAGAACTGAGACCAGAGACCGGACCTGAGACCAGAGACCAGAGACCACAGACCAGAGACCACAGACCACAGACCACAGACAGAGACCACAGACCGGACCTGAGACCAGAGACTAGAACTGAGACCAGAGACTAGAACTGAGACCAGAGACCTGAGACCAGAGACCTGAGACCAGAGACCAGAACTGAGACCAGAGACCAGAACTGAGACCAGAGACTAGAACTGAGACCAGAGACCAGAACTGAGACCAGGGACCACAGACCAGAGACCTGAGACCAGAGACCAGAAGTTTGACCAGACCTGAGACCAGAGACCAGAGACCAAAGACCAGAGACTAGACTAGAAATGAGAGACCAGAGATCAGACCCGAGACCAGAACTGAGACCAGAGACCAGACCTGAGACCAGAACTGAGACCAGGGACCAGAACTGAGACCAGGGACCAGAACTGAGACCAGAGACCAGACCAGAGACCAGCTCAGAGACCATACCTGAGACAAGACCAGAAACGAGAGACCAGAGACCAGACCAGAAACCAGACCAGAGACCAGACCAGAGACCAGAGACCAGACCAGAGACTAGAGACCAGACCAGAGACCAAACCGGACCAGAGACCAAAGACCAGAATCCAGACAAAAAGCCGATAAGGCGGAAACAAACACCAGAGACACTCATCTACATCGTAAGGTTTAGTTTAGTCCTGGTCTGGATTTTAAGGTCCATGTTCTCAAGAGTGGTCCTGGTTTAGTCCTGGTCTGGATTTTAAGGTCCATGTTCTCAAGAGTGGTCCTGGTTTAGTCCTGGTCTGGATTTTAAGGTCCATGTTCTCAAGAGTGGTCCTGGTTTAGTCCTGGTCTGGTGTTTTTCTTGCCCCTCGTGCCTGAGACTTGTTTTGTGTCCGGTGTCGTAGTCGTGTTGGGCGCTGGCGGTTTCAGCCTTCAGAAGTTCAGAAGTTGGGATTATAAAGTCTTGTAGTCCCGAGTGAACCCGAGGCCGAGCTCCTGCGCCGTGTTTATAACGTGTAAATACATCTCATAATGTTGTGTTTAATTTATCTCCTCTGGACGGAGAGAACTGTGAGCCCATGTACCTGACCTGTACGAATGTCCTTATTAACCAGTGTACAGAACTGTTTTAGTGTTGATATTTTAATAAACTTTTTCTAATTAAAGTCTCTCTTTTTTTTTTTTTTTTTTGATCGGGGTTTTACCGGGCGACGGGGGCGGAAAGAGCGGCAGGTTCCACGACTCATCTCACGACAAATACAACGCGCTCGGTTTCTCTAAAAGTCGCGCCGAGTTTTACAAAGTTTAATCGTTTTTTTCAGAGGATCCTCAGGTTTGTCTACACCGAATTTAAGACTTTTTAAAGACCTTTTTAAACTTTTTTTTGTTTCAAATTGTCAATGAAAGTTTAAAATACCGTTACAGAGACGCAGCAGCCTTGGAATTATGAAAAAAAAAAAAAAAAAGAATGAAAATCCATCAACTGTGGACGTGTTGAGGCCAGAGAAACGTCAGCCAATAGAAAACGAGGCTCCCTCATTTTCTATTGGCTGTTATGGTTGTCAATCAAACTCCTTGTGTAAGTGGCTCGTCGGCGCGCGGGGATTTCGTGGTTTATGCGGCGGTTCTTAGAGGCTTTTTCAAACTGTCGCTTCCTCGCAGTTCGCACAAAGTTTGTCGCGACGGCGGACGAGAATCCACGACCAGTTCGCCGCAAAAGAAAGTCGTTTTTTGAGGTCGCCGAAAGAAGAAGAAGAGAAGAAGGGGAAAAGGAGCGAAGACAAAAGAGGTGATTCTTGGAGATCTCTTCCAGTGACGGCGCGACTGAAGCAGACGAAGGGTCTAAAAACTGACGCGTCGGTCGATAAATTACTTCTAGACAGGAAACTTCAACAGTAATTCTGAACAAATGTGATTTCTAGAGTAAAGAGGCGGGAGGAGGAGATGTTTCTACTGAGGAAGGTGGTGTCACATGTGCAACATTTGAAAAACGACAGTCGCTGTATTTCTCTTTCCTTAAAAAAATCCTCTATACAACCTCGGGCTGGGCGATATGGATCAAAAAATATATCTCGATATACGATATATATCTCCATATCTGTACAGGAAAAAATAACTCCCTAAAACTGAAAACTGCAAAAACAAATCTGCCAAATTCCACAAAGTCTTTTTTTTTATTTGAAGTGTAAAGGTTCGTTCACACCAAAGCGTCAAATCGTCCAGTTTCTATGTAAAGTCGATGTGGGACGCGACTAGAGCCTCCTGCGTTTTTGTGTCGCGTTTTCTGCGTCAGCGCGGCGCGAATCTGGCGGTCTAGACGCGCGTTCAAGGCGTCAGCGTCAAGAAGTTGAAAATGCTGAACTTTTCGCGTCAGACGAGCCGCGTCGACCAATCAGGGACGAGTATCCAGAGACGCAGCGACGTTATTATCAGGAAGAAAAACCCAGAACCAGAATCACAAACATGAACAGAACATGAATATATACACCACAAACACCGAGACCATCACCAGGACTAAACCAGGACCGGACCAGGACTAAACCAGGACCAGACCAGGACTACACCAGGACCAGACCAGGACTACACCAGGACCGGACCAGGACTACACCAGGACCGGACCAGGACTACACCAGGACCGGACCAGGACTAAACCAGGACCGGACCAGGACTAAACAAGGACCGGACCAGGACTAAACCAGGACCGGACCAGGACTAAACCAGGACCGGACCAGGACTAAACCAAGGACCGGACCAGGACTAAACAAGGACTAAACCAGGACCGGACCAGGACTAAACCAGGACCGGACCAGGACTAAACAAGGACCGGACCAGGACTAAACAAGGACAGAACCAGGACTAAACAAGGACCGGACCGGGACTAAACCAGGACCGGACCAGGACTAAACCAGGACCAGGACTAAACCAGGACCGGACCAGGACTACACCAGGACCAGACCAGGACTACACCAGGACCAGACCAGGACTACAACCAGGACCGGACCAGGACTAAACCAGGACCGGACCAGGACTACACCAGGACCAGACCAGGACTAAACCAGGACCGGACCAGGACTAAACCAGGACCGGACCAGGACTACCAGGACCAGGACTAAACAAGGACCGGACCAGGACTAAACCAGGACCGGACCGGGACTAAACAAGGACCGGACCGGGACTAAACAAGGACTACACCAGGACTAAACAAGGACCGGACCAGGACTAAACAAGGACTACACCAGGACTAAACAAGGACCGGACCAGGACTAAACAAGGACTGGACCAGGACTAAACAAGGACTGGACCAGGACTAAACAAGGACTACACCGGGACTAAACAAGGACTAGACTGGGACTAGACAAGGACTAGACCAAGACTAGACTGAGACTAAACAAGGACTAGACCCTGAATAGACCGAGATTAAACCACGACTAGACCGGGACTAGACCATGATTAGACCAGGACTAGACCAGGACTGATCCAGTGTCATTAGTGGAGTATAAATATAAACTGGCTCCAGTCGTCGACCTCGATTTCCTCCGCTGATGTTTTATGTGATAAAAACACTAAAGTCTCTCAGTCTGGTCTGACATTGTTTCGGGAAAAGTCCAGGACCGGGCTCTTGTTTCCAGGGCAACGGACGCGCGTCAAGTATTTTTTGTCCCGTTCGTCCACGACGTCAAAGACACGAGCGTCGGGGTCTGAACTCAAATACAAAGGCTCCAAATAGAAACGTCAAGGAGTTTTTTGACGCTTTGGTGTGAACGAACCTTAAGAGGTCGACAGTTCATACAGGAACATTTAAGATTACAAAAAAAACTAATTACATAAATAATAATTTAACTGTAAAACATATTTCCTTCTTTTCATTCATAAATAAAACAACTCAACACAAGCTCATCTTTGCATTAACTCTGTTCTCCAGACCAGAACCAGAACCAGAACCATGAGCTCATTTAACAGAAGAAGCTCATGATGTTCATTATTTTAACAGATCCATGTTCCAGCAGCGTCAGGATCTGAGGTTTAATCCCACAATCCACTGCAGATCAAACCCAACGTTTCCAAACACTGTTGTACAAGTGACACTGCAGCAGATTATTCATTAAAATCTTCTGCATAAATAAACTTTACAATGTATAAAGCAGAACGACTCTAGAGCCACATCAGCCCGTTTGAGATCATCATGTGTTTAATGCAGTTTTGTGCTCGTGTGTTTACATTTTACAGAAACGAAACTTAAGCTCATGACTCATTTACATAAACAGCACTTCTCCTGCAGTTCAGCTCGTTCAGCTTCTTTCAGGTTAAAGGTCACGACTCGGTGGAACATGAGGATGAGCTGCTGCTGCTGGTGGTTTTGTCTGTAAATGGTGGAAAAGGTTCGTGGAGCTTGAAGTTTTTCACTGGCATCAACTTTGGGCTTTCAGAGGAGTGAAGGAGACACGAGCAGCAAAATCAGGGAGGCGGAGGCGACGAGAGAGAATAAACATAAACATGAATATAAACATTATATCGATAATGATAATAAAACGAGTTTAAAAACGATCTCGATATTAGGGATGTGAATATTTGGCAAAAACACTATTCAAAAATCAACCCCTCCCCTCCCTCCCTCACACACACACACACAGACACACACACACACACACACACACACACACACACACACACACATACACACACACAGACACACACACACACACACACAGACACACACACACACACACACACAGACACACACACACACACACACACACACAGACACACACACACACACACACACACACACACACACAGACACACACACACACACACACACACACACACACACACACACACACAGCACACACACACACACAGCACACACACACACACACACACACACACACACACACACAGACACACACACACACACACACACACACACACACACACACACAGACACACACACACACACACACAGACACACACACACACACACACACACACACACACACACACACAGACACACACACACACACACACACACACACACAGACACACACACACACACACACACACACACAGACAC